TTGCAACTGTTTTGCGACTTTCCAGTTTGAAACATTCGACAATTGTTCATAAAAAATCTTCTTATTTTCATAAAACTTAATAAATGTTCGGTTTTTTTCTCCTGTTCAACATCGTTATTTGACTAGAAGTAACATTAACTTCGGCTTTTCTTTTCCCAGACTCTCCCATTCAACCCTTAAAACTATACCTTATTACGTTTGTCATACATTGTATAGAAACTTGCCTTCACATATTCGAGAGGCGGAGAGTGACAGCGTCGCTATGTTTAAGCGTAGAGTCATGAGCTGGCTTTTAAATATCGGCAGGGAGCAATCAGAAGGATTACTCAAATCGTTGTACTCATAAATTTCTGCAGTTTCATGCGTCACCAAATCACTTTTTTTCCTTCATTGCTAAATACCACTTACAATCACTAAATTTGAGTTTTGGATGTTTCGATGCAATTAGGTTTTTTCTCTCTTGATCTTGTAACATTAATTCAGGAATAAAGATATTTTGATTTGATTTGAGTTAGTAATGTAGGAGTTACTCATAGCGATTCACTTTGAAGTACATCATACAATCTGTTCTATGCTTAGGCCTACATTTATGAATATCCACTTACTCCTCGTGGGCCGTCCCCCATATGAAATAAAAAACCGACATTTAATTTGAAAAGCGGATTTTTATGAGTAGGCCATGAACCAGCATACTGTTTTATTATAGTATAATGGTAAAAAAAAAACTGTTCCAAGACCTTTCTAACACAATTTACATTTAAGTACTTTATGTATTGTCTTTGAATAGTGAACGTAGGCTTCAAATTCGAATGGTAGGTTGTACAATCTGTGTTAATAAAGTGTTCATAGAGTGTTTTATGTAAGATATCACAATCTCCCAAAATTATGTACCAAACTTTTGGATCAACTCAGCTGAGGTCAGTTTTATGGTCAACTGTCCGGTATAAGTAGAGGACTTTGGTTGTTTAAAACAAAATTTAATTGATTGTAACCAAATACAGTACATTAATCAAATAATTGAAATACTCGTCCTCTAGCACTATAACAAAATAGTAAAGTGCAATTCGTAAGATTTAGTACTAAATAAAAGACATCGCTCTCGAACTGAGAGACTCTGGGACACGAAGAAGTAGTCAGATCACGTCTTGAAGTTGTGCTGGAATTCCCGCACAAACGATCAAGGAAAACATGACAGAACTTATTCATCAGTAGTGAAAGAAACTAGTGAAACTCAACTACTTCGAGACTTAAATAAAACACTCCCAAATTTCATCATAAGCACTCAGTTTTTTTAATTCGAATTTGAGAAAATCTATTCGGTTATCCAATCGTTGTTGGGCTCGTGTAATGAACTATTTTTTTACTACGCACAATTATTTATAGTTAATTTATAAACCAATATTTTAGATTGTTCGCGTTTACAAGTCCCGTTCTGAAAGTAGCCAAATAGTTGTTTTACTATTTAGTTTCTTATTATGATTGAGCTGAACTTAACAATGATCGACTCTAACTAGATTCTTTTTATCCTGAACTACTTCAGCCACAAAACACAACTAACAAAAACAACAGCGATCTTTAGTATGACGAAAACTCATTTCTGCCATTCCTTCTAAAATATATTTTCTGAATTTAGTCATAACAGTTTTTTATCAAGTGAGAATTACCTAGCAAACACGGGGTTTAAATTGCATTGCTAGGGTGAGGTTATAAAGTCAAGATTGATTTACTCAGCCAAAATGGGTGCAAACAACATTGGTCTACTTTTGAAATACCAACAAGTGTTTAACATTTTCTTCACACTGTACCAAAACTATTTATATAATCATAGTTTCCGTTATTTTACTGGGTTTTATGGTGAAAACACTATTAAAAATCGAAATTTACAAAAAGCGAAAATAACCCCTAGAGATACTGTTTGGTACCCAGACACAAATTTTCATCAAAATTGGTTATAGAGTTCTTCCAATGTCAGACAAGCTGACCTGTTAGTTGAAGAATTGCCTTTAAAATCCGTTTCAGAATGTAAAAATAAAAGGTAAAAGGGTAGGTAAGTCACGGTTTCAACGATCACTGATAAATTACATGGCCTTCACTAGTGTGCGGTGTAATTATAATAAAGAGGAAAATCGAGGGTTTTGGTACAAAAAAGGTTGAATTTACGAGAAAGAAGAAAGAGTACGTGTTGTTATGAGAGGTGAATGATGATGTCACTGGCTAAAGCAGGGGTTTAAAAACAATACCATTAAACTACCCGTTATTTTACTGGTGAGTAAAATATGTTTTCCTGGCTAAATTGGCGTTCGATACCTGATTTCGGATTGATACCTCTTTCGATTTGATTAACCTCGAACTTTTGAAAGAGATCTTTTAAAATTACACTCATTATCTTATCAGACAAACTTAACTGTTGATGGAATATCGTGTTAAAGGAACGTGTAATTATGGACTTCACCAGCAGGTGTTTAATTTGATCACGTACAAGCTTATACTATACAACCTTGCAGTGTAGTCAAAATAAAGCAGCGCTACACCAAACGGCTTCAAACGTGGTTGTATACATTAAACAAAACAGGACTTAAATTTTAATTGTATGACGAAGGAAATTAAGTTTGATTGATTGAAACCAAAAATATATAATCTATACAAAAACCGATGATTGTGTACTAGGTTAGTTTTAATGTTTTTGTATGACCCCGGAAAATCGTTTTACTCATTTTAATCAACCCAAATTATTAATAACCCATGTGATTTACAGTCTTATAATATTGTTTCCACAAGTTACCATTGAACATAGACTTTGGATATTAGTAGACTACTTATCCGATCGTCATATTTGCTGTTTGTGTCCAGCCAAGTCTCATGTTTGTTTACGTTCGAGGTTGTTGACGACTGAATGTTTTTTCATAGTTTTATGTGTACATTTAATAGTCAATTGGTAGAATGTGCTTCATTCTTTGTTTAATAATACCAAACCATCTTGTTCATCAACACGTTAGTGTTCAGATCCTTTTACATAATCGTTTTACATGGTGAACAATCTATCGTTTTAAAATTGTCGAAATTACAAGAAATATATATTTTTAAATGCCAGACCCGGAATCTGGTAATATTTTTGCTTTACTAAAGCAAAAACTGCCGGGTCGAAAGTAGCTCTTTTACTCCCTAGGCAGTAAAAAGCATTTTAGTCCCTAGGGAGTACAGGTCAGCTGTTGTAAGCACAGATATAAATTTCGATTCTCAGCAATTGCATGCACAGAAAGTATGTATAGCTCGTTTTAATCGCTTGAAGCTTATTGTTGCATTCTTGTTAACAGTGCGAAGTATCGATACACTAACACAATCGTATTAATTCAAATGATTGAATCACTTACTAGGCTTGTTTGCATAAGTTAAATTGAAAACAAATTATAAGTAGTTTAGAGAGGGTTTCTTTATCTTGGATTCACCTCGACCGTAAAACTTGAACTCGAGTAGAAAAGAGTCACCTTAAAAGCTCTAGTGATGGAATTATACGATTTCACTGTCTTCAGCTGATTCATAAGGATAACAAATATTTAAGGAATTTGTTTATATCCGATAACATATATGAACACGACACAGAATCAAAACAAAACATTTGTTCTTTAGAACTTGAGGTAAACAATTTCATTTATAGCTGAAAGATTTCTTAGTTAAGGTATAATCAGTAAACTGAAAACTCTAGAAATGGTTAAGGTTATTGTATATAAGTGACTTTCTAAAATCATAATGAATTAGTTTTAGATATTCAATTATTTTAACGCATCACAGATACACTCAATAATTACACTCATCTTTATAATTGCTAATGTGCACTGATATTAAATTGCGTCCTTAGCATACTTTAACGATTTAAATACATTTATAATAAATCGGGCAAGAAGGATCTATTTCTCTATAACTAAACTGTAAATATACAGGGTGAGTTTTTTAAAGTGATCCAATAGCTAACTTTTTAATTACAGGACTTAGCACCTCACTTTAAATTTGAAACTTGCTCAGTTTTAAGTTTCACTCAAGAATACGATTTCAGATTTTTTCATTGTGGCCGCCATTTTCCAATATGGCTGCCAACTTTAAAATTTCTTATGGAACACCCTGTATTTTATTTTGTTTTTAGATTTTACTCTAAAAAATAAAACATTTTTGTTCTTGAGATTTATCTTTAGTCTATTTAAGTCGCATAATAATAACAAAACACATACAAAGTTCACACACAACTAAACAGTAACAACACTTAAAACTAACATTGTTTTAAAACATGCTTTAGAATTCATGCAACTTTGTTTGAAAACTTTAAGTCCTCGTAGCTCCTTAACCGTTAGAGATATTGAAAAAATCTCAAGAACAAAAATGTTTTATTTTTTAGAGTAAAATCTAAAAACAAAATAAAATACAGGGTGTTCTATAAGAAATTTTAAAGTTTGCAGCCATATTGGAAAATGGCGGCCACAATGAAAAAATCTGAAATCGTATTCTTGAGTGAAACTTAAAACTGAGCAAGTTTCAAATTTAAAGTGAGGTGCTAAGTCCTGTAATTAAAAAGTTAGCTATTGGATCACTTTAAAAAACTCACCCTGTATACATATTAACTTCACTTAATTTTTTATGATAGGTTAATTTTAGGTTATCCTTTTCTTAATGGTTCGTGTACTTGATGTTGTGGTTACATATTTAATATTTATGGATACTATCTTTTCTTGTTCATTAATTGGTATTTAATGTAAAAAAATAATTTGTACATCAATGTAACTAATGTAATTTTAGAGGAAACAAAGGTAAAGTTTTATGAACAACAACCAAGACCTAACTTGGGTTCTATAAATTGGGTAACAGCCCCAAAAAAATTTAAAAAGTTTACATTTCACTTTTACCATTTAGCTGTAAATCCCAAAATGGCTTCGCCAGTTGTGCCACAAGTAACTAACCTTGAATCGGAATCACAGTTCACAGAATCACAATTTACACAAACAACCTCATACCTGAATCAGATGGTGAATCGGTGGTTGGATTTTCCAAATAGATATCATCCCTCGCAAACTGATCCCATTGGCACTGAACAGAGCACAAAAACGTAAAAAACACAAGACAGTGGACGTCCGGCTGCATGGCTCAGACTGAACACTGAGACCTGTTTGAGACCAGTTCGCTCTTTTCCTTATCTGTAATCAAAATGAATGTATAATTCCTCAACGCTTCTTACCGAATGATGATTATACACCATACAACACGTTACTACTAATAATAATTAGGCATTATGTATATACACTTTTGTTTGATTTTCTGACTACTATATTTTTTAAGTTAAAGATGGTGTAAATGATTACTGGTAAATCACCGTCTGGAATGTTTAGATTTTGGGATTTTGGGCGAAAAAGTGATATTTAGGGACAGCCGGTTTGATAGGAAATAATTTAACTTTATAAAAAGAAGAAAGTTAAATAGAGCCATGGATTAAACATACTTCCTTAAAGGTCATTCTTATGGGTCAGTTGCAGACAATTCAAATGTTTGCTACAACTTGTTTCTTGTTATTTCACTTATTTCAAAACTAATAAAATAAAACGACATACTCTAATTAATAATAAGCAATAACGAGCTCGTCCTCTGGTTTTCGACCAAATAGTAACACCCAAATCATAAACATGGCCCTTACAAGGAAAAACATAATTTCGTTGACGTCTACAACTAGAAACTTACAAGCTTAACATTTAACAGATAAAACAAGCTTTGGATTAAACAATAGGATAATAAATATACGTCTACAATTCTAAATCAATGGCATTCCCTTGTAGCTCTTTTTATTGGATCAAATCTAGTTAAACTGTAGATTCCCTGGGAGAATCACATTCATATGAACTAAGAATGGTCAATGAATTTGGATAGCCTATTAAAAGTAGACTAAACTAAATAATCATACTTATTGATCAGTATCGTACGTGTTATTAAATTTACGGAGAGTACATGAAAATACGTCTAATAACACGCTTGAAACAATATTTACAGATTGTTAACCCACAAGACATTAAATACATGTAAAAGATGGTAAGTGGTGATCAATTTCGATTGGACTTTTTAATCATCATCAATTCAATAGGCAAATGTAACTTTAATATGTAATACGAGCATTGAAGAATCACATTTTAATGCATGGGATTTCAATATTTTGATTTAAAAACAGTTTGATGCGATGAAAATGTATTTCAGAGGCTATGTTTATTTTACCCTTAACTTTATTTTAACCTTTATTTAAACGTCACAGATCAGACTCAATTATTTTTACATTGTTTACTTAGACTATGGATACTAAATTTTCCTTTCATAACAATTTGCAAACTTACCTAATTACTGGCAGATATATCCTGAAGAGTTGGGCATTTACATTCTATTTCTTCCAGGAAATTTTCAAATCCCTTTTCTTCTTAAACATATCTTAGGTCACAATTAATTGTGTCACACTAATACCGCACTTTCGTTTTATTACTTACTTTTTACACAAAACTCATTCATTTTACCGTATTTCAGTAAGTTCAAATAAATCACTAAGATTTTAATGATTTACCAAAATCTAGTAAGCTAGTATAGTTTAAAACACCCAAGACTTATTTCAACTCCAACACTGATATTGTAAATATATTACTGCCAATTCCATCCCACACTACTTTATTATATTCATCACTATACCGTTACTGGACATAGATCACACATAAAAACAGGCTTCAAATTTACAATTATTGGATGAGAAATATAGATATCTAGAGTATCCAAAATAAATGTTTTTTAAGATGTCCAGGAAAAATCCAGTTTTGGAACCCATCACAGCTAAGAACTAATTCAGACGATCTTTCAATTCCATTATGAAAGCTGGGACATTTCATCTTGGTTGTGGCTAACTGGGTCTCCAGTTCAGGGTAGGAGTCGGGGAATATACGTCATCTATGTCCTTCGGGTAAATTACATGAATGTTGGAGACAAGCTTTCGTCATAACGACTTGACTCATCTTAATTTTGGTTAAACCCATTACACACATTCTAGACGATCGAAATGTTTATTGTAGTGAACACACAGATTAAACATACTCCCTTGTAAGGTTGTAAATAAAATAATCACTTTGCAGTGTGCGCCCTGGAGTTATATTCTCTCAAAGTGACATGTTTTGGAACTTAGTCCACTTTCAAACTGCAATAAATAATAAATACTTCACTTTTGTTTATGTTATTGGCTCAAAAGATTTTATTAGATTTTACAGATATTTTTTTAAGATACAGGATTTATATTATATTAACAATTTGATGACTATTGATCATCTAATTTAAACATTTTCTCATAAATGGGATTTTTTTTAAATTTGGTTATTGGGATTTTTCTAGTTTTCTGCATATATGATATTCTTCGGTTGAACCCATTCAGTTTCCTTTGTTTTAGAACTTTTATAATATTCATGTTATTTGTTAAATATGTGTACTTGTGGTTGGTTGATAAGAGATGTTTGAAATTTGACTTCATTGCTGTTTTATTGTTACATGTAAGGGCTTGTAGATTCTTTAAATCTACATCCAAACGAACGCCATATTTGACCAATGTATAATCGTTCACAATCAGTTCAGTTAATTTTGTCATTGACCATTGGAATTTGGATACACCAATGTCGCACTTATCCTGATGCACTTTATTTTTTTGTTATTTTATTGGTTATCATATTAAAAGAGTTATTATTTTTGTTTTGAAGCCAATGTTGTATTCTAATTATCAATAAGTAATTTTGTACGACTGACTAGTTTTTTTACTGTTCTTTCAAGACTGGTATTGAATTGGATATTAATGCATTTTTCTTTGTTGTGCTCTTTATTTATTTATTCATTTTTGTATTCACTCCTTGACAGCATATATTTTATTTTGTTCAATTCTATATTGTCATTTTATTTTGTAATTGTAATGTTTAATATTCGGTTTAATATGGATCTGAGGGCAGATAGTATTTCCCAGGATGGTTAGAATTTGAAGGAATCATTATGATTTATTAGGTGTAGGTTTTCTATAAATTTGACATATTTGCATAAGGTACCGTATATGATCAGATGAAGACAGTTTAAGGTTATTTGTGTCCTAATTCTAGCCCCTGAGCTGTTGGAGAGATGTTGGAAAGATTAAATTGATTTCGTAATTCCAGTCAGACATAAACTAAATAGTAAATTCAGCACATGTCTCAATGTTGAAACACCATCTTCAGCTCAACGATATAAACAACTCAGTAGTTCTTTACATCGTTGCGTCAGCTTTAGGTACCTGTAAAGTTGATCAGTTGTTAACATAATCAAGGGTTTCACAGAAGGGCGCAAAAATAACAATTAAATATGGAAAACATTTAAACATAATACCCCCGCCACAGCAAATCTGCAGACAATTCAATTTGTCTGATTATTTTTTACTAAAATATTTACATAAATAAGACATATTTATTCCCAATATAAATATTATTAGATTTTACGAGTGCTTAGGTTTGCTGCTATGGGGAAGGTAAAAACTGTTTTTGACAATAGTTGGATGAAATAAATAAATAAATTTGCAAAATTTTATCAACATATATCCATAAACAAGTAAACTACAACAGTTTTATTTTTCTCCGTAAGAATGACATGGAAATTTTAAATTTTCCCTGTAAGTAGTGGCAATATAGGAATATGACGCCACTTGAGCACTTTTTGCCATGCCCCGGACGTTTTTTATACCGAAAAAAAACTTCCGGAAAATGGTGGGTTTTTTTTTAATTCTGCCCACGGCCTATACACCCCTATAAAAAGGTTGTAAGATAACAACTAGTTACTATGTATACTATTGTATAACTCCATCAATATTTGATATCCATATCCATTCTCATATATATTTTCAAAATCATCAACTTGACAGTGCGAGATTTGCACCAGAACTCGGACGCGCTCCCAGCCGCTGGCATGTTTCCAGGGCTACAGAAATACAGGGTGAATAAAAAGTCAGGACCCCCCTATCTAATATTTTTCCAAGTAAATATACAGAGATATCCTTTTGGGGGTCGTGCAATCTTAGCAGGAAGTTTCTTTTTATGATTTTGAAATTTTTGAGTGTCCCCCCAAAAGGGGGGATTTGGGGGGTAACTCAAATATTTTAAATGTAAACCCCCTTCAAGTGACACCTCATTTTAAAGTGTTTACAAAAACTTAAGGAATGGTGAAAACCAGAGTTCGCTATCTCTTCTCTATCCAAAATGGTAGCCCGTCAAATGTTGTGGAAAATCAATGGTAAAATTGGTTCGTAATTGTAAAATTGGTTACCATTTTGGATAGAGAAGAGATAGCGAACTCTGGTTTTCACCATTCTTTAAGTTTTTGTAAACACTTCAAAATGAGGTGTCACTTAAGGGGGGTTTACGTATAACATTTTTGAGTGTCCCCCCAAAAGGGGGGATTGGGTGGGCAACTAAAAACTTTTTGATGTAAAACCCTATCAAGTGACACCTCATTTTGAAGTGTTTACAAAAACTTAAAGAATGGTGAAAACCAGAGTTCGCTATCTCTTCTCTATCCAAAATGGTAACCAATTTTACAATTACGAACCAATTTTACCATTGATTTTCCACAACCTTTGACGGGCTACCATTTTGGACAGAGAAGAGATAGCGACCTCTAATTTTCACCATTCTTTAAGTTTTTGTAAACACTTCAAAATGAGGTGTCACTTGAAGGGGGTTTACATTTAAAATATTTGAGTTACCCCCCAAATCCCCCCTTTTGAGGGGAGACTAAAAAATTTCAAAATCATAAAATGAAACTTCCTGCTAAGATTGCACGACCCCCAAAAGGATATCTCTGTATATTTACTTGGAAAAATATTAGATGGGGGGGTCCTGACTTTTTATTCACCCTGTACATGTATATCTGTAGCCCTGGCATGCTTTTCGCTTCTCGTCCCTAGTGGTAGCTGGTAGCTCGTGATAGGGGGCGGTGATGGGCATCCGTTGCGGAAATCAGTGAGTTCTGGCTACTTGGGAACCCAAGCCATTTGATATCAACTAATCGCGCTTCCTCTTAATCACCTTCTCTACCAAATACATGTCTTTATACTTGGCTTTAAAC